AGTGTTAAAATAATCTAGAAACAGATTTTGTTAGTGAACCTAGTAATAATTATGATATCAAAGAATGCTGCAGAGCACCTATGAGATTTTGAGTTAAAAAATATGCCATATTTTTAGGCTATTTTTATACCCTTTTCAAAAATTTTATGCTCGTTTTTTGCAAAACTTAAAAGCTTCGAACAAAGTCAGCAAATCACCTTTATTTTATAAAGTTTTTTCTGTAAAAACAGCAACACCATATATTTATGCACTTGAAATATTATATTTTTAAAAATACATGGTGCTTGCTAACCTTCGAAAGAAGCCAGCAGAGCAATTCGGTTTTTTAAAGCTTTTTTCTAAAAACCACACCCCATTTTTAGACTCTTAAAATATTGTAAAACTTTACTAAAAAAATTGCTATTTTTAAATAATACAGGGTGCTTTGTTGGAACAAAGTCAGCAGGACACTTCAGTTTTTTAATTTTTTTTTTTTAAATATATAAAAACAACTACTTATGACACATATTTAGGCTGTTTTAAAATCCTAAAAATGTGGTGAGTACATTTGTTTTCAGAAAAAAACTTTAAAGTCAGCAAGGAATTGCGAATTTTTTTTAAAATGCCAAATTTCGAATATTTTATAATATTGTAGGAGCCAAAAAATGTGGTGTGGTTTAAAAAAAAACTGGGGTGCTCTGCTGGATTCGTTTGAAGCTAACAAAGCATTCCGTATTTTTTTATTTTATAATACTCAATAGCCTAAAATGAGACATAGCTGTTTAAACAAAAAATTGTATTTTTAAAAATAGCAGTTTTTTTCGAAAAGCTCTATAATATTTCAAAAATGTGAAAATGTGGTGAGATTGTTTTTTAAGTTTTGAAAATCCGAGGTTCTTTACTGTATTCGTTCAGAGCTAGTAAAGCTCTTCTCGTCTTGTTACATAAAATAAAGGCATTTTGTAGCTGGTTATATAGTTATTTTGTAACTGCATATCTAACCCTTTTATTTTTTTCAGTTGGTTGTAAATATGTGGCTTCATAGAAGAAGTGAGGAACCATCTGTAACATCTATTCAGTGTTATTGGAAAGGCTCTAATTTATCAAAATGCGTAAATATTGATGTACACTTGGCTAGATTGTTAAAGAAACCTCTTCATCCACTACAGGAAAATAAATCAGTACTTTTATATTCTTAGGATTTGTATATATATTTTTTATTTGTAAATAAATTGTTTTTTACTTCATTTTTCTCATTTTTTATTAAAAGATTAATAAATAAAATTTTCACAGATTTTTATATTTTTGTTTGTAAACAATAATTGAAGAGTTTTTATTAAAAATCACCAATGTTAATAATAATAATTTAAGTCAATATTATTCTTTCTCCTTTTTTAAAGCTACTATCAATAAAGGTATTACTTTAGCTTGACCTATGATCAATTTTTAAATTTTGTGATATATTTGGTTCAACAGAAAAAAAATTATAACCCTTTGACATTGATTGTTTTTACTTAGATTTTCATAAAAAATAAACGGAACTGCAAACATGTTTTACTATCGTAATAACGAATAGCAACATTAAATTTTTTTTCACATTTATCACTGTTGTCATTTTCATAAAGGATTGATAAGAAGGCACACTTTCTGGTTTTTTGAAAAAGGTAGCAAGAATTGTGATATTTTTAAATTTATCACCAGTGATACCACATGTAGTTACCCGATTTAATGGAATATATAGACTTTGCTACCACATTCAACTGAACTTGGTTGTTTTTAATATTTATCACTGTGACAGGCGTTTTTGTCAAAATGTTTCATTTTAAACTGTTGTAAATAGGTGTCTTTGTTTTGGTAGTTTTAGTCCCAAAAAAATCTATGCATATACAGGTACTCATTCCTCTTTGATTTGTTCGAAAAGTTAAAATTTTATAAAAAATTACATTGGCTGTTTAAAAACTTATTATAATCCCTGAAATGTGATAATTAGGTAAATTAAATTAAAAAACAAACAAAAAAATTTTATTAAATTAATATTTACTCTTACAAAACAGGTTCTTGTAAGTTAACAAGCAATTATGCAGATATTACTAAGTAAATGTACTTGCTTAAAATTCACACACGAATGTGGTTTTAACTAACCCTTCTTATAACTCTTTCCACATGTATTCTTAGAGATGCGATTCTTTTACTTAATTGTACATCTTCTGGAGAACTTTTTTCATTCTGTGATACAGTAGGTGTGGCTTTACTAAAGTGCATCCCATGTTTTCAAGTAGCTAAATATTCTGAAACCCCTATCTGCCATTATATGGGATCCAGGAACCAGTTTGTTTAAATACCCACATTTTTCTATTATTTCTTTATCACTATTCTTCCACAAAATGATGAATAAATTCGGTATCTTCAAAAGTTTCAGGAGATTCTGCATTTTCTTCCAGAAGGGTTTTTAGGTTATACACCTAAGAATTTATAGTAGCCTCGTTTTCAATTTCCTGAAGGGGACAATTAGCAGAAATTGCTGCTACATCTTGATAATCCGGTGTATTTTTATTAAAAAGTTTACGAGAAACATCGCTAGTAGAAGGTTGATTTTCTTCTTTCCAAATTTCTAGGAACACTAATAAATATTTTTGAAGATGAATGTGAATCATTATCACATTCTGGAACAAAACACTTTTTCGTAGTCATAAAATTTATAAAAAGTACAAAATTAAACACTCAAATTCCAAATAAATTCTTGATCGAGACACTATGATGACAGATGCCATACACAGTGCTGCCATTTTGCCATTTTCTGAATTATTAAGTGACTTTTAAAACAATGAAACTTTATATATGGTAAAAGTTTAAACAGAAATAATACTTTCAAAAAACATTTGATACTATATATTTAAAAGATATTTGTTTAACGATGTTTTAGAAGTCTAAAAGTAAGAATTAGTACACAAATGAACGTACATCACTTCTTGTAAACCTTCTAGCCGGCAACGTTGTGCGCTAGCTCCTATTGGTCTATTCCCGGTGACGTCATAAATTTTAAAAAAATTCATAACTCCGGCAAATGAATAGATAAAAAAAAAATAAAAAAAATGTAGTTTTATTTTTAACTCTACTATTCATAAAAAAAATCAAAATTTTTGAACATGTCCCATTCTCTTTCAGTAATGGATAATTTTCTTTCAAAACTAAATATTTTATTTTAACATTCATAATTGTTTTTAATGTGGTACAATAAAAAATTAATAGTATGCAGTAATGAATTAAACATTTTTTACCTCTGTTTGGTAAATCTATATGCACGCATTTTACAAATCTGGATATACATACATCCGTCTAAAAAATAAATAAAATTTGCATAATTTTGTTATGAAAAACCCCGTTCTGTTTGATGTATGAAATAAATTTTTAGCCCATATTACTTTGTTTGTTGTGTTCAAATAAATGTAGAATATAAAGCGCTGAAAAATGTTTTTTAATAAATTTTATGTTTGCTTTTACAGTATTTTATTACCGAATTTGATTTTATGTGTATCTTTGAAAAAAAAAATAGTTATTAATCAGTATAAAAGCAATATATGATATATTTTCAATAACAATGTACACTTTGTATGCAAATACTGTGCTACAAATGTTTTTGATTAGGAAATTAGTTGTTTTTTTTATTATAAAAAATCTATTGACAGAGAAGTGTTTAACTCATATAAAATTACCTTGACTAATATCTATATCCAATACGAAATATATTGAAAAAGTATTTACAGTTTTTTACCAACATGTGAAACAGAAATAATTAAAATTCTAATAATTATTAGTTGTAGAGATAAAACAAAAACTCAGTAACATGTATATAATTTATTTACTTAATAATAAATATCCCAACCGAGAATCAATTTCACAATCCACAATTAACATGTAAAGGTGCTAAAAAAATCAATATCAGAAAACAAGAAACTAAATGTTCTGCTAGCATTTGAAGAAAATCCTTATTCAAACCAGTTCACGTTAAGTAGCATTAGATAACATTGTCCATTCAATAGTTCTTAAAATAATAAAAGTTAAATTTTGTGAAATTATAAGAGAAAAAATATCACAGGTAAGTTAACTAACAACCATTTGTCTCCTATTGACCTGGCATGCCATACTCGTGTGACATCATGACAGCCAATCTGCGCTACTATTAGATCAAATTGATCAAGGTAAGTGTCTTTAATTCCAACTTTAAATATAGGTACTACCTACTACCTATGAATCATGATTTTTCTTTCTGAAAAGTCAATTTACAAGTTTTAATATTTCTTTAAATAGTCTTATAATTATTAATTTTAAAAATATTGAAATTTACTAAAATTTAATAAAAATTGTAAAAAATTATATAATCAATATAATAGGCGATATTAATAACACATATAAGCTTACAATATTATTCTTCAACATTACATACCACTATTTGGTCAGGAGTTGCCTACTATTCAAAATAGACCCTACCAAAGTTTTTATATTACTGACAATTATTTTTAATAGAATTAATATTTTTGGGTAATTTTTACTAATTTGTGGTTAATACACGATGGTGTACCACCACATATTACTTGAATATCTGATATAAGTTGAAGACTATTTAATCATCTACACTTTACACCAACCTTTGGATAGGTCGTAAAGGATTTGTATCAAAAGTTTGCTCATGGACTACAGACTTGTTTTGAGATCCATTTTCGTTTAATAATTTTTCAATACCCTGTATCTTCGTACAGCAGCATTTAATGATCCCCTCTTGATACGATTTTTTTTTTCTTTCTATTGTACAAGAAACATTTTCTACACCAAATTAATTTTGAATCAACCATCCATAACTGTTGCGAAATAAACTGATAAAAATATTAATTGCCATATTCTCTAATTAGGTATTTTTTACTCCTGTGTATAAACTGCAAGGTAAAATAATGAATATAAAACATTTATCATCCTTATCATTTACTTTATATATACTTATTTTTAAATTGATGAAAATAATATAAGGAACGTTTTAATTACTTTTTTACCCAGTATTGAATAACGTTTCGACTGTTTGACTTGACATTTTGAATTAAAATTTTGGTAAGTATATTTTCTAGCAAGGTTTCGTTATTATAATAAGTATGATGATAATAATATACTCACCTGTAATTCCAAAAATTGTATTATGTTTAGACAAGGCTATAAATACGTTTTCATTATTATAATATTTGAATCAGAAATTATTTTGAAAATTATCAGTTATGTATAAAACAATCTAAAAATCAATGCTTAAATAATAGTGTTATAATTTGCTTTTTTTAAGAAAATAATTAATAATTTAAAGGGAAAAACATCTGGTGATGTTTATACACTAATGAAGTAGTCATTTAAAACTTTTGGGTCTGGTAAAAATGAAAAATAAATTAGATATTTCTGTCCTAATAATTTATTGTATTATTTTTCAGAAATCGTAGACAATATCAACATGTTGAAATATTTATTCTTATTAGCTTTCATATCTACAGCATATTGTGCATTGGATGAAAAAGTAAGTTACTATTTTCTAACACTAGATAATTAAATAGGAAAACTAATATTATAGTGACAAAAATAGCTTAATAATTTGATTTTTGAATAAAATCAAATTCATTTTGGAGTAGATGGAGTGGATGTTAATTTTAATAGTTTTTTGAACAGACCAATCTTAAAAAGTTCTGCAGACCCTACTCCACTTTAAAGAGGATTATTTTTCTCAAAATGGTGAGATATAGATAAATCTTTTTTATGCCATTTGATAGAGCATAAAATTAGGTAAGAACTTACAAGAACAAAAATATGGAAGTTAATTATCAATATTTTTAAAACCACTTAAAAACAAAACAAAAAATAGAGGATACAAACATTTTAGACTTGTACTTTAAATTTAAAGTTTTAAAATTTTTTAATTCTCCTAGAATTGCAAATTTTTTGGGTATTAAAAGGTATACAAACGTATAAAAACGTATTGAAACGTATAGAAATGTATAAAAACGTATAAAAACGTATAAAAACGTATAAAAACGTATAAAAACGTATAAAAACGTATAAAAACGTATAAAAACGTATAAAAACTTATAAAAACGTATAAAAACGTATAAAAACGTATAAAAACGTATAAAAACGTATAAAAACATATAAAAACGTATGAAAACGTATAAAAACGTATAAAAACGTATAAAAATGTATAAAAACGTATAAAAATGTATAAAAACGTATAAAAACGTATAAAAACGTATAAAAACGTATAAAAACGTATAAAAACGTATAAAAACGTATAAAAACGTATAAAAACGTATAAAAACGTATAAAAACGTATAAAAACGTATAAAAACGTATAAAAACATATAAAAACGTATAAAAACGTATAAAAACGTATAAAAACGTATAAAAACGTATAAAAACGTATAAAAACGTATAAAAACGTATAAAAACGTATAAAAACGTATAAAAACGTATAAAAACGTATAAAAACGTATAAAAACGTATAAAAACGTATAAAAACATATAAAAACGATTAAAAATGTTAAGACAGTTGAATAATCGTGGTTACATAAGCTCTAGAAAGGAAGCTCAAACCCGTGCATCATTTCAAATTCGCTATTCTCTAGATAATGAAATGAAATTGCACATCACAAAATGTTTTGTTTTATTGCTAAAAAAAATAATTTAAATCGCTTGTTATGGTGTTTTACAAAATATTTGATTATTGTTAAAGATAAACCTGTTGTAGGAGTACCTTTGTCAAACATCTAAAGCAGTGATAAATTTTAATTTCATTTAATTGTAGGATTTTCCTCCAAAATTGGTAAAATTAGCTAAAATGATGCATTTTGAATGTCAAACCATTACTGGAGCGACTGAAGAAGAAATAAAGAAACTTAGAAAAGGGGATTTTAATGGTAGCGACGAAATAAAAGTAAAGTTCTATAAAATATTAATAAAAAATTAAGTAATATTGTTTTTTTTTCCTCAGAGATACGCTACATGTTGTTGGTTGCATTCTGGATTAGTAAGTATTCTTTTAATAATGACAATGTGTATTTATTTTTATAAGCATATTGAATAATACAGAAATTATTAAATTTTAATTAATTAAAAATGAAATTCAAATTAAAAATTATGAAAAAAGCTCAATGATATTATTTAAAATGTCAGAATAGAAATAAACTCATAGAAAATTATTCTTTTTTTAAATTTATGTCATTTAATTAATAATCTTTTTTCTATACAAAACAAAAAGGTTTAATTAATGGATAAAAAATAATAATACCAAAAATAATAAGCTCTCCCAGAAGAGATAAAAATATTGAAATATAAATCTAAAACTTTTTTAAAATTGTAGTAAATAAATAATAAAGCTGCACAATTTTTTGTCCTTAATATTTCAGACGATTGAAAATGTAGGGGTCGTAATAAAACTATTTTGGTACTAAATATATAATTTTTCACACTTCTATGTAATTCATATTTTTTTTATTAGTTGGATGTTCATTTTAACATTGATAAAGATTTCCTGTTAGACATAGAACCAGAAAAACTAAAAGGAAAGTTTGTTGACTTATACGAAAAATGCGCAGAAAAAGGAAAAAATTCTGGTGAGTAAATCAGTGGATGTATAGGGTCTTTCAGTTTGTTTTTTTAAAAAAAGGATATTAAAAATTATGTATTATTTTTTAAAATTATTAAAAAAATATAAGACAAACAAATTTTGAGTATTTTGTTACTAATAATCTGAACAGATAATTTATTCAAAATTAGAAAAAAAAAAAATTGTATGTAACTATTAAATTCTGAATATTTTTTTTTATCTCTAGGGTTGCCTAAATTTATTGAAAAAGTATGGATAGCTAAAAAATGCATTCACGATGCTGATCCAGAGGTATGTATGCTTTATAGGGGGCCGCTAAGAGCCAGGTGGGGTCCCGGCACAATTTTATAAAAAAAATTTGATAACACGTTTTTACAGGAAAAAAGTCCTCTCTTTTGAGGCTTTCCTTGTGCCCTGACCCCGGAAATTTGTTGTGCCAGCCCCCCATTTTCTTCAACAAGTTATAAAATTCAAAATTATTTATAAATATTTTTATCTATTTGAAATATATGCAGAAAATGTATGCACTTGCTGATTTGTTAATATTTTAAAAAGTTAACAATTTGTAATAAATCGGAGAAAAAATGTAAAACACTGTAAATGGAAAAACAATTTCAATCTTCCTGTCCATTCTATATTAATCTTAGTATTTAAATATTTTTTTTTTGCAAAATTAGAAAAAATAACTTAAAAAAAATTAATTGTTTATTTTTGTTTTTCAGAATTTCATCGTTCTCTGAGATGGTTCTTCACAACAATATTTAAAAGAAATTGTTTCTGTTAATTAATAATAAATATATTGAATGTATTTTATTTCGTTTTTTATTTAATTTTTTCTACGTCAAATCAACTTTGATATTTTTAATGATTGTGGATCGAAATTTCATATTTCAAGTGAAATAAAAATAAGAAATTTTGGAAATCTCAAATTTTATACTTAAGTTTTTAGACCATTGACCAAACTTTTATATCTTCTTCTTTTTTAATAAAAATAACAATACCTATTCAAAAATAAAATCCATTAATTAAATGTCTAATTATAAAATGCCGAAAATGAGCGAAATTTTATCAAAAAAAAAAGAAGAAAAATCATCATTAAAATTGACTAAAAGGATACATTTTTTATAATGAAAGGACTTCTTCTCCTTTTAGAGATTAATGTTTACTTAAATTTTTTTCAGTTAGGATTTTTTTTTATATTTTAACCCCCCTTAACTACCCAATATATTTATATTTTTTTCAGTATCAATAGGCTTTATCTTCTTATAAAGCCTAATTTTTACTAAAAATTTCATATTGATATTGCTTTTCGTTTTTAATTTAATGTAAAATATAAGTAAAGTGTCTAAATAGACATTGCGAATATATTGTTAAAATTAAAGAAAAAATAATACCAAAATATAATCCTAGTTCTGACAGCGGCACTAGAAAGAGCCCTCTGTTAGGCTACACACTGCACACCAAAGCTCATCATGTTACAAGACTGCTTGGGGCACGGGACCATCGTAAGAACGTTTGAAATAAAAAGGAAATCTCTGCTTCACAGGGTAAATAAAATGGACCAGCATATTGACAAGACAGAATTCCATTCTGTAGCTTTCTGAGAATAACCACCCAGTTCAGCCAGTTTCTCGTGTCTCATATTTATGGTCAAATAAAAGAAATGGAATGATAAAATATTAAAATGTAACCCTTACTCTATTCAAACGAACGTAGCTATTTGTGAATTGTACTAGACTGGCAACACTGGTTTGGTTTGTGAGCGGCGCGCCAATTAATGTGTTCTTTGACATTTTGAAGGATCTGTTGGTGTGTTGTCTTCTCTTTTTAGCTATATGCATTCGACATATCGTCTCACTCGTATTAGGTTCACTCCACCGAGCAATTACTACTAGAGGGAGTCTTCCCCCCTTCCCCGCGCTAAATTTTGTTAGCAACATCTACTCCCCCCGAGGGGGAAAATACCTCTTCTGTAATTGGCTTATTTAATCAGCGTTGCCAAGTTTGACAGCGACAGAAGTTTTCTGTGAGCGCCAGTTCTGACACATGTCAATTTCTTATTTGTATTTTACGGAAAATATTATTATTCATAACGTTGTAAAGGTTGTAAATGTATATTTAAGATTTATTATCTCTAATAATATGGTGAAAACATGCTTTATGTGTAAAAGGCCTGTTGAAAATGCTTCTTCAAGATAATATCATAAGTAAGTACAGAAACAACCTAATTATCAGAGGCGGTGCATTAGGCAATCACCTTTAATTTGCAATAAAACTTCTTTATTTTCTTATCGAAAAATTAAAATTAAGAGCAAGTACACTCCAGCTACGTTCGTCTTCATCCGTCTGATAATGATTATAGTAAAGGTTAATTACTTATTATTATTTTAATATCACATCTTTGTAAAGTTTATTGTTATTTTTTTTAGGTTTCCTTTTCTTGATATGAGAAAGAAATACATGGTTCCAAAATATAGGAATTCAACAAGTGACCACCTGAATAACTTTTTATGCTAATGCATTTTTATTACAGATCTCAGGGAAAGAAAATATTAAAGAAAAATGCAATTTCGACAAAAGAAGTATAATAATCAATCCTGTCACTACTTCTACACTATATTCATCTGCTACTAAAATACTAAAACAGCAAGTAAGTAGAGAAACTTAAGTTTCTTTCAAAAAGAATGTTTAAGGAAAAAGGCATAGCTATTTTTTTGTTGACACTTTTTTTAACTAATCTAAAAGACTAATTTTGTGTATTGTTTAAATGTTCATTTTTTGTACTTAATTTGTTTCAGGTTTAAACTAAATGAACTTCTAAGATATGCATGGAATATCTCAAAAGAGCTAAGGAAGGTTTTAAAATTCTTAAGAAAAGTATTCAGAGCCAAAAACATAAAATAGTCTTCCTGTCCAAAATATAAATAGGTATAAATATTTAGATATTATGAGTGATTTTTTATTCTAAGAATATCACATTATTCATGTTTTTTTTTTTAATTTCCTTAAAAAACGTCCCAAAAAAATGTGAATATTTATTATTGGAGTTAACATCGTTATGCTAAAACAATACTAGAACAACTTAAATAATGTGGATTTTGACTATTTTGAGTTATGCAGATCATTATGATCTAAAATAATGTTTGTCTGGTGCTATAGTCAGGTACAAAAACATTCATTTATTTAAACACAGTTGCAATATACATTTTATTTAGTTTTAAGTTAAAACCTATTAGGACATCCTAAAATTACTTTTTTCGTTTGATGTGAGATTAATTATTCTACATTTTTGTTGGTGAAATAGGATATATTAAGATGTCTTACTGTTTTCTCTGATTATCTAAAGAGTTAGAACAATATACAAAGACTGTTATAACAAAAAAGAGATATACCTTTACTGAAACACACAGTCAGTTCAATTGTACGATAATTTAAAGCAGAAATCCAGAAAACTTTAAAAATGTGTTTAAATGTGTTTTTACTATAACAAGGACATAATTATTAAAAAAACTTGGCACATTAACATTGACGATGGGTTTTAATAATATATATTATACAAATCACAACGAACTACACAAAATGACATTATTAATAATTTAGTAATAAAAAAGTTAAGTACAATGATGACATTAAAAGTTGAGTTTCTCGAAATACTTTTTTCAAATTGTCTCAGTAACTACCTAGTATTTTTCTAGCACAATGATATTATATGAATGTGCATTGTGTGATATCTTATATTTTAGGAATAAAATTATATATTTTTTTGCAGGTTTCTGTTAACAACGATTCCAAGAACTTTTGAAAATATTAAAACGGCATTTGCAAATATAATTCTCAATTAAGAGCTTTTGATCTAACATTAAATTTTTATTCTCCATAAGGTTATAGCTTCCTAAGAAGAAAGTTTATCAAGACCTACCAGACTCAAAATATCAAAATTTTACCAACCAATTGATGGTTCTACTGGTTTCCATAGGAAAATTCTCCTCGAAACTATACTAAAAGAAAAGTGGCAGAGGCAACCGAAGAAGGCAAAAAAGTCTTTTGCAAAACAAAAACTAGAAATTTGTTTAAGAATCTATTGTTTGAAGTTTTACCATTAATAATTTTTGATAACGATTTAAGATTATAAAGTTCTATTATGAATTTTACTCTTTGATAACCTATGTTTAAATTTTTATTAGGACCAAAATAAATTATAATTTTCACTTCAACTACAAAAACCCTCATAATATTAAAAAGGGGAAAAACGTTAGATTAGTTATGTTCAGGAATAAACTCTTTAAACATTTATCTACTTAAAATGTGTTACTTTTAGAAGGTATGTTATTAACTTTCTATTTGTACTTGTATTAATTTATTTCATTTTATTATCTGTTGTATTTTCAAATTGATTTTGATATTAATCTTATCTATTTGTATATTTTTTATACTCACATATATGTTTTTTTCATTAAAACAAACGTTTATTAGCTTATTAAATATAATAAATTCATGTTGTTTTATTATATGCTTGTATGAATGATTACTTTTATTTCCTTTTAAAAATGAATTTCGAAGATAAAGCCGAAACGGTGAGTGAAAATAAAAATTAGACGAAAGTGACGATATTTACTGGAGCTTTCATCTACACGCTCCTTTTTCTAGCCAGCAAGATTCGTCTTCCCTCCATCCTTAAATTCTCCAGATTTACAGAGAAAACGCCGTCCTCTTTAACATATCCAGACCTTCTTTGATGGGGACTATACCACTACATTATCAGCTTTATTTGTTATCCCGAGCAATTTAAATGCATTCATAATTGCTCATTCTCACCTCTTCTCTTGTAGATTCCGTACTCAGTTTTCTTATTTTTAGTTACGTTTGCACTGCTCTTTTATTTTCACAGCTTTAATTCTATAATGCTGTAACGCTACAATATGGGTCCATTTATGTGGTTTATACTATTTAATGTTATTCGTAAGTGACCAACCTATTATAATAATTAAAGATTATTGTATTACAGGCCTGAAGATGTTCCTGTAAGGCCGAAACTAGTCGCTCCTGTATTTATAATAAAATTTATTTTAAGGTTTTATTCTTCAATTGAAAAAATTAGACCTTTACAGTGATTTTGTTTTTTTTTCTGCATTAGACATATATATGACGGTATTCATTTTAAAAATAGTAAAATTAGCAATTTTTTTAGTTTTTTTTTTACAATTAAAACGTTTGGACAATGTGTGTTTTTATAGATAAATGATACGCCACTGAACAAGAAGGATGTTTACCTTCCCCCTTGTGCCCGCTTCCTCACTTCCTCTACAGATGTTGCTAACACAACAATCGCCTACAAACTCGTTTTCACGCTCCCTCTATTAGTAATTGCTCGGAGGTTCACTCATCATGATGCGCCACAGACACAGTATACTTAGATATATTGTGACACAAAGACGCGATCAGCCAGAGGACAATGATGTACAAAAAAATATAGATTAACACGTGTGAAAATAAAAATATTAAATTTAAAATTATATTTTTATGTTATTTATGTAATATTAAAATAATGTTTTTATGAAATTTAACTGGGTATTCACTGCACAAATGAACCAATGGAGTAACCGCCCTTGCTTGTAATACTGAAATAAGGTGGATAATTTAAAGGAACATCCATAGAGGGATATTTCATTTTTTGTCTATACACGTGTTGTTTTAATAAATCACGTTAAACTAAATTTAGGAGTGGCTATTAAAACCTTATAGCAATTATTTGGAATATATTTATTAGGCAACCAACAATACTTATAATTAGTAATATACGAGTAATTGAAATGGTTTTATTTAAAATAACTTGATCAATTTGTGCAAGATCTTTTATAGGATATTTATAATAAACATTATTTTTATTCTCATTCAAAAACAAAACTATTTCCAAATTAATATAACAAATGGCGCCCAACGTTAGGTATTGACAAACGTGGGCATATATTAAATTGACAGATGAAGAGTTGGCAGTTAAGTGTCAATATAGAAAGGTGCAAGTGGTAATAGCATATAATTAGAGTAAAAAGGAGTATAGTACAAATATTTTTCATAAAGTGTATACTATAAAAAATTAGAAAAAAATGGAAGGAAGTGGAGGAATTAAAGGCGACAGATTATATAAAATACTAGAAAAATATCCACCATATTTAAACTGAGTAAAATCTTACTTTTTTCACTTAGTGCACAAAGTAGATTTTTAAAAAATAATGTCAATATGTCAGTTTACTTTACACACTTAGTGCGCAAAGTAAATTTTAAAAATTCCTTTTTTGCAAAAATTATGGTGTAGAATATTTTTTATGCAATACGTGTGTGAAGTAACTTTTTTGACTTGTGTGAATAGATTCCCACTCACCAAAAAAGCACTTTACACACTACTTTTTGAATAAATAACTATTTGCTGCTGACGAAATTGATCAAATTTTGGAGATACAATGTCAAATTGTTTTTTCGAATTTTTGCAAAGAAAATATTGGTATGGACCATAAAAAAAATAGAAAATAAATTATTTATATATAAATTAAATGGGAGCGGACCTAAGATAGTGCCTTGAGGCACACCATATTTAATAAATAAATTTAATGAAGTGCTTCTATTCCCAATAGCTTCCAATGTTTGCAGAAGGATGTGATGGCTTACCGTGTCAAATGCCTTTGATAAATCAAGAAACACGCATAAGTAAGGTTTACTGGCGTCTAATGATGCATATATTTTTTGTGTTAACGTCGAAATCGCATCTTCTGTGGATTTCTTTTTCCTAAAACCACAGTTTAGGCGAGTTTCCAAAACTTTTTCAAATACCTAAACACAATATGGCGAAAGTCAACCCGTCTTACACCACGTGACACCGTCTTCCTACCTTCTACATCCATGTTTTAGTGACAGTTTGTTTTGATTAACGTCTGTTGACAAAAAAAGAGAACTGTCATTGTTTAATGTATCAAATTGTTAAATTTGAGGTTAATTTGATTTCTTAACCTTTGAGTTTAGGACCCAACCGTATAATGCGTTTTTGCCCATTTTTTTTAAACTTATGCGGCATCCCTAACACCCTGTATATACATGCAAAATATTTAAATAAATAAATTTCTTTTTAAAGCATTACAAACCCATTATAAGGAACCGATTTAATAGCTATTTAAGATATATATTAAACATAAATTAAGAAACTAAATTTTTAAAGTCATAATGTTATTTTAATTACAAAATATTTTCCACAGTTATAAAATCTACTATACCGGACTCAGTTGTAAGTGAATTTTTCTACTAATAAGTAAGTCAAAATATTTTTAAAAATTGTTTGTTTTGGTATAATAACATTTTTAATACTTTTTCGATATTTATTCTATATAAGAAAAATAACTATGGTTTTTTTTTTTCAGCGATTTAAAATGGAAGCAATGTGGGGAATTTTAACATTTGCCCTTTTATTGTCAGCAGTTTCTACCGTCAAATTACCTAGAAAGGTGAGTGTTATAAATAAATATAAATGTAAAGTTTGATAAAAATTTTTTCTTTATTAAATTAATATTAATAATATTACGTGAAAATTTTCTGGAGAATGGAGTCAGAAAGTTAGAATTGAAGATAGCAAAGGCAATTACTTCTAATTTATTAGGAATTTATCGTAAAATAGCATATAAATGAATTAAAAATGCATAAAAACTGTATAATATAATAGTAGTTAGAAGGCATTATACTATAAGAATAAAAAAAAAATATATTATGGACCGCCAGCGAGATAATAGATTGTCTAATTATATTTTAAAAATTAAATATTGAAAGCAGAGACAGTAGAGAAAAGTATACAGGTGTAGACAAACGTACAGGTACAAAAACTTCATTATTATTAATATTAAATGTTTTTTTTTTAGTTATTGGTAACTGCATATTGTACCTTTGATAAATGGGTTAATAATTTCTTATTTTTAGGACTTTGGAGACAACCTTACAGCAGTAGCGAAGGATCTTCACAAAAAATGTATGGTTACATCCGGATGTTTAACAGAATGCGTGCGAAAAATTAAAGCAGCTGAATTTGACCCCGATTCAATTCCCTCTAAAGTAAGTTTTTTTAAATTATTATAATATAAAGATTGTTCTATTATTATTTAATAAATACAATATGAGTTTATACGGGCACTAGGTGGGTAAATACAAAATATATTAAAAATTATTTAGACACAAATATTTTTGTTACAATTTAAAATTAGTTTCATATATACAGGATGTCCCAAAACAGAATACCAATATAAAGTTATATATTTTCTTTTCTAAGTTTAACTCTTAAAAATGATGTTAGTAAAATAAAGATTTCCTATACCTATATTGATAATTTATTTAAATTGTACTGTGTAGGGAAATGACGTGTGACAGTTAAAAGCAAAAACATTTTCTAATGCAAAATTCTATTATGTTTTTTGAAAATATAGAAGGATGTAAATTTGTTTAACGATAAGGCAGCACTCTACAAAAAATTTATGAATTCTTCACCCTAAGTTTGTTATGATTGGTATTATCGAAAATTTCCTAAAGAAATTATAAATTTTCGAATTGCTTTTGAGGAAATTATAAAAAAATGTAATTTAAACAAAAATTGACGACTAAAATGCTGGCGTTGTTCCCGATAATGGCTGGGTTTCATTTTCGTCTGACTACTCCTAATTATTTTTTAATTTAAATATTTAGCTAAAACATAATAAACTCAAGTAAAAGACGAAAAAATGCCTTATTATAATAATTATTTATAGTTTATCATTTTGAATCTATAAATAACTATGTTGTGTTTAACTGTTCGTAAGTAGAAAACACACGTGTATTCTTTTTATATTTATTAAACAATAATTACTTTCAAAAACTAACAAAAAATAATAGAAATTTAATGTCTTTGGCTATATATAATAATAAATGTATTTCTGCCCAATTTAAAAAAAATTTACATTCAACATTAAAATTAATTGGAAACGTACTGTATACGTTCAATTTTTCATAAAATAAATAATAATTATATTTTTATATTTAAAGAAAATGTGTAGTAAATTTTTTACATCGAAAATTAGAAGTAAATTCTTATATTTTTGTTTTAAAAAATGTGATGAAATGATAAATATCACTTATGAAAGATGGAGAAATATTAAAGACTAATTTTATAAATATTTGAAATTAAATTATTGATTTGAATGATATACTTAGAAGGTCTGCTCTTTTTGGTAATAGGATACTCTCTTATATAGTTCGTCCTTTCGTCCTTGGTATCCTTCATACCCGTATTCATGGTCTCTCCGTTGTATTCAATCGTTTAACACTCCTTTTTTTATTATGGGTTAAAAAAATCATTATTTAAATAAATTCCATCATTAATTATAATTTCTACTATACTGCAAGACCTTGATTGACTTTATTCTTATTATAAATCAATTATAACATTTTTTTCATTTGGTGTAAATGTTTTAAGACATCCTATACAATAAAAACCATTTATTAAGTATTCGTTTTCATGCAAACTTATTTAAAAAATAATCTTGTTAAATACCACTCGTCCTTTTGAATTGTATCCTCATTCTAACGTTTTTATTAAAAAAAACAACTAGAAAAAAAGATTTATTTTATTAAATTAGGACTTGAGATATAGGGAATGCTATTTATATTATTATTTTTGTTATAGAAATATGTGGCATGTCTGTGGACAGCATCTGGACTTGTAAGTATAATTTTGTATTAAACTATAAATATACTGTAACGTTTGTTAATTTTAAAAATAGTTTATTTATTTATATCACATTTACTTCATCGATGTTCTCACAGCTATGACTCGACTTCAACTGATCTACTAAACAAAGTCCCTAAATACTTCCTCTATGAGTCAACCAGCACGCAAAGATTCCTCTAGTAATTTCTCGAAGGACTAATTTTGTCTCTGTTCAGCGATATCGAAACACAGACATTGCTCCCTCCTCTAGAGATAATTCCTCCTGGAACTAAAACTTATTGGTTGTATCTGCAATCTATTAAAGTGTCCTTTTGTATGGAAATAACAGGGGACTGTCTTCGTTGTAACCTAGATACTGAGCGAGTAACTACAAACCTCAAATACTGGTTGATATTTCATCTTTGACTCTTTATTTTACCTGTTTTGTACGTTCCAGCTGTTCTATCTTCTTTTCATCTCTTTTATTTTCTCCTCTACAGAAGACATCTTGTTTTTCACGTCAGCAGTGATTTCAGTTTTTAGAGAAGACGTATCAGAAGAAATTTCATCTTTCAATAAAAAGATTTTGTTTTCTAAATCGGCAGAAATTTCTGTTTTTTAAAGAAAATATGTCAGAAGTCACCTTTTCTTCTAAGGAAGAAATATTAGACGAAGCTTTACTTTCTAAAGAAGTAATATTAGAAGAAACTTTAGTTTCTAAAGAGGAAATATCATTTTTTATAGAGAAAACATCAGTAGAAACTTTAAAATGTAAAGAAAGAAAGTCATAGTTGATATTGGAAGTTCTAACAACGATATTGAAGGAAATTATAGCAGAAGATGAATCCAAACTTTTAGTTTTTAGTACTTCTTTAAGCCGTTTTTTACAAAGACCTTTCTGGAATTCCCTCGGATATTTCAATGTATACAGGGCGTTACGCTATAAAGCAGAACCGGTTTCGCACAATATTTTATTTTTTATAAAAGGAATTTCTCTTCTCGTTTTTTAGCGAAAAGGTTCCTGAATTGTTATAATTTTTAAATCTTATCTGAAAGAGATATACATAGTCCCCAAATGATTCTTTAAATTTCTCTAAATTAATATTTAAAATTATGTACAGATAGAATTTTGTATTTTTTAGTTGACAAAAGGCTTTGAATTGAACAGTACTTTGTTGGAAGAATTGATGCCTCCAACAATATCAAATGAAGAAATACCAACCTACTTAAAATGCGTTGAAGAAGGAAAAAATTCAGGTAAATAAATTTGGGATTTTATAAAATGTATGACCTAACAAACTAAATATAAAGCTAAGGGGAAGGGGGAGTTAAAATATTTAAAAAAATAAATTCTGACTCAAAAACGAAAAGTGATATCGACTTGAAATGTTTTGCAAAAATGAAGTTCTATGAGAGGACAAAGCCTATTGATTTTAAAAATAATTGAATAAAATGGGGGTCAAGATATCAACATGAAATGTTTAAGAGAATTAATAAATAAATAAGGAGATAAGGGTGATAAGGACGACTCCAGAGGGGGGTCCCAGGAGACTCAGGTTTACGATTCCTAACGTACTTTGAACACTTATCTCACGCAGACGAAAATATGGGCTTAGTATGCATAAATGCATTTATCATATAAACTGATGCTTTATAATGGTATTTGAAGATTTGAGTACGAGCTTGACCTCCGTCTGGCCTGGAATAACACATCAAATTTCTGTCTAGGAATTTCGACAGTCAATATCGTGATGGTCTAGAAGTAAGGGCACTTTTCTACCATACAAAGATGTCCGGGTTTGATTCCCGGTTGTGACAAAATTTAAGTATTTGTATTCAACTTTGGGATTCGGGGATGGTCTTTAAAATTTGTAAGAGGATTTTTAAGATTTGTTTCCGAATTTTTGAGTTATTTTTCAGATATTTCGGTTTTAACGTTTTCTAACTTCACATTTTTAAAAATAAGAAACTATTAAAATAAAAAAATAGATTTTACTTACGAATATTGTTTTTATTTGATGCCTATGAACTTGTATTATCCAAGATCTTACCTGTAAGAAAATAAAATTGAATTAATAAAAACTGCTGGTATTAATCAAAAATTAATTAATGTATTTCAATTAAATATTTTTATATTAAGTATGTGATTAAATACATTAGTATGTAATTAAAATTTCATGTTTTTTATTTCAGCTGAAAAAAAATTCAGGGATAAGATATTTGTAACGACAAAGTGCATTTATGATACAGATCCTGAGGTTAGTAGCCATTTTTTGTAAATTATTATTGCATTTATTGACAGTAAACTAATTTTAATTAACATATAAATTCTTCATTATATTAATACACCAAAATATTGAAGATAAAGTAGGTAACATTATTATCTTAGAATATTTTCAAGATGTAAAAAATGCGGAAACATTTTTATACCAAGAGAGAATCCTATCATATTCAAAATTGTTAATTTGTCATACTAAATATTATTAAAAGAATCTATATCTCAAAAAATCTTGAAAGAGGTAAAAGAACAAAAACAAAAACATTGTTATCCCAAAGAGGACTTTTCTATTATAATTTATGTAAAACAAAAACTTCTATTATGAATAACATTTTTTGAGTAATCAATAATAATAAAAAAAAATTTATGTAAACATTTGAAATATTTAAAACTAATTTGCTTTCTATTTATTTTCAGAAATATATCATGTTCTAGGAGGTGCCAAAATTATTTTACGAAAATGTTAATTTCAAGCTTTGTCACAAAAATAAAAATAGTGAATAAAATTTTTATTGCAATATACCTATTTTTTATTTTTAATCATTTTATAAATTGAATGTAGAAAGTGGCGCATTATTAATGTGCAAAGTTCTAAATACACAAAAAGATGTTACAGTATATCTAATTACATTTTCTGGGGTAGAAAATGGATAGTAAATGAATAGTAAAAAAGTTACAGGGTGTTAAAAATAGATGTTTTAGAAGTAATTTTTTTCTCATAAAATAGTGACTAATAAAATTATAATTAATGACGTTTAAAATTATTTTAATTATATAGGATTTTAAATTGGTTTTAATAAGGATCTATAATGAAATTTCACGATTTTACCAGCCACTACATCATCTACACAAAGAGGGTTAAAGTGCCAATTGACACCGGTATATCCAGCCCCATTTCGTGTAGGTTCATCGCATATGCATTTCAATAATAACAAAAAAAAATAGTTTAAAAATAAGTAGGTATGTGGTATCTATTAATTGGGTATCATAAACAACTATCTATAATAATATTTCATTTTTTGACATGAAATGAACATTATTTTTTGATACTTTTTGAGATATCAACCACACTTTCTTTATAAATACAGTATGATGTAAAGTATCTAAAGCAAATTATTATAATTTTCATTATATTAATTTTATTGCTTCAAAATATTAGATTGAGTAGTAATACCAGGATATATACAAAGTAAGGGATACTTTTATTTGTGACCTTATTAATAACTTGAAGAAAAAATTCAGAATCAATAATTTAGGTTGGTAATATACCCTATAATATATCCTTTATATAATTATTTGCAAGGAAGCAAAATAGTTAATATAAACCTACGACAATAACAAATAATTAAAATATATTAATTTTGCTTTCTTGCATTTTCTATACAATACAAATAAAATTAATAAAACATTTTTAGGTTGACCCACTTAAATATGCTGAAGTTTTTATGTTTAGTAATACTATCTACACCAATTTTTGGTGGATTACATCCCAAGGTAAATATAATAAAAAAATATATCTTTATTTATAGTATCTATAACCCTTTTTAATAATTTTGATATAATATAAAAATTAAAATGAACTGGAATCCTTTCAGGATTATGGTCCAAATTTGACTGAGGTAGCTGAACATCTACATATCGAATGTTCAATTTTAACTGGAGTAACTGATCCAGAAATAGATAATCTAAGAGATGGAAATTTTGATGAAGAGAATATGCGTATTAAGGTAGACTTTTTAAAATATTTGTGAAAATAGAACAAAAGTTTTCTTACAAAAAGGATTAAACTTGTTGGTCTAAATACATTTTTCAAGTTAGAAATTTAATCAAATCAGATATGTATAATTGTAGAAAACATTTATAATTTTTCCACAATACTTTGGCCAAATTTACATATTTCATTGCTAAATTATTAGCATTCTTTTTCAGATTGTCAAAATATTGCATATATAATATTCAGTGGCTAGTATACAATGCATATTATTATTGTGAAAGACTTCTTTAGGAAGTCGTAGTTAACTAATTACTTTTCTTCATTCTTTGATAATAATTAAATATGACTATACCGGGTGTCTTCGCGGAAAATGGAATTATAGCTACTTTTACGACTTGCTATCATTTTTTACTTTCAATATTGAATATCTGGTATCTAAACTTTTAGCTGGAAATATCTTACAAAGTTCATTTGGTATTTAAGTCTTTTTTTCACATAAAGATAAGTAAGCTGTTTCAAATATGTCAAAAAAATACAGTGTGTCATTTAATTTTTTGGTCCTGGGGTGACCCCTACTTCCTTAATAATATTTCAAAATTTCAAATCGATATCTTTTAAAACACTAGATATAGTTCCATTTAAAATTGTCGCGTGGACACCCGGTATATATTTCTTATTAATATTTATTTTTTAGAGATACAACGTATGCCTTTGGTTACATTCTGACGCAGTAAGTATGAGTATTTTAAAATATGTAACATATATTTTAATAAATTATTGGGATTAATATATCGTCAAATTTTATAATTAAAGCTTTCGTTTAAAAAGAATTAAGGGTTAAAAGAAATACATTAAAACATTTTAAATAAAACACAATAGGCCTTCCCGTTATTGATAATCTTTATTACTCATGCGCAAATGTGACTGTCTGTTAAAATCATCAAAATTTGTTGTTGTTATGTTTCCTACCCTAAGTTTTAATTACACATCTTATTATTAGAATGAGAGTCAGTGACACTTTTAGGTGTGTTATTTCCGAAAGGAAAAATATGAAATATTTCGTGTATTCTTGAATAAGAAGTCATAAAAAAAGCTTTTTTTAGAAAATGTGTATCAAAGAAGTGTAATTAGCTCCCGACTATAAAAACTAAATGACAGTTATTTAAAGTTACGATCACATGAGTTAATCGACATAGCCAATCCAACAGTTGTAAGGCGAAAATAAGAGAAAGATAAAAATAAGTTGTATGGAAAATTACTAGATTCAAAATTCCCGCACTTTTTTCGTGCATGAGTAATACGAAATTGTCAAATAACGGGAAAGGTGGATAATGGAAAGTTTTTTTTTTACATCTCAGCTATTTCCAAGTGATGACGGCTTACCATCTCTGCATGGTAATAAAGATTTCTTTTTGGAGATAGAACCGCCTAAACTAAAGGGGAAATTTGTCAAAAAATGCATGTTTTGTATTAAGGAAACCCGAAAAACTGGTAAATAAAGAGGAAGAGTTATATATGTGTTATTGTGTTGCTTTATTTTCAATTTCTTTTAACCTCTAACCTTCTATTTAGTTTGTGTTTGTTCTACACCATAATTTCTCGTTCATCATTTGTTTAATAACAATATTTCTTTAGTTTTTTATTAATAAATAATGTTTAGGTATTGCTTTTTTTATATTTATTGTGTTTCAAGTCTGGCTTGTAAAAGATTGTTTATTGTTGTCAATAATCATTTAAATTTAAAGTTCAATCTAATACACAAAATAATTGAATTAAATTAACAAAAAGATTAATTATATTTAAAAATATTCAATATTTTACTTATAAAACTAAGACAGTTATCTAACCATATTTTTATTCTTTTAAAATTACTAAAACCGTATTTTATTTTTAAATTTTTGTTTAGGTGAAAAGGATTTTACTACTATGGCTTGGAACTTGATCAAGTGTCTTTATCGCGTTGATCCAGAGGTATGAAAATAATGTTGTTATATTATTATTATACTTATTTTGAGTTTGAATATCTACATCGGATACAATATGTGATGTTTATTTTTTATCACATAATAGAGGATTTGATTTAAATGTAGATATAATAAATAAACGTTATAGATGTAACAAAAATGACAATGACCAGGGCCGCCGTTTTTAAAAGTTCTTCAACCAAAAATGCCTCCTACTCCTTGAATTTCTCTCTAAAAAAAGTCTTCAAACAATAACTTACCCCCCTCTACTTGAATTTCTTTAAATTTCTCTAAAAAAAAAAGGTCTTTAACCAAAAACTTCCTCCCTCTTGTGTCGAACTTCTGAAAGTAACAAAAAAACCTTCGACACAGTTGGGGGGCCCCCCTTATATCGCTGCCGGGTCCCAAATTGAGCCCGGGCCCCGGGAATTAGTCCACCTCTTGTCGGCCCTAATAATGGCAAGTATTTAATAATAATTCAGAAGTATTATTTTTTGTTTCAGAACTTCCTCATGCCATAGTTATGAAGCTTTTAGTGGCAATACATGGGTAAATATTATAATTAAAAATATGTAGTAAAAATAAAATGATTTCAAAAAGTATCTTGTCTTTATTCTAAGGAAATAAGTAACTCATCTCGTTCTAATTCTTAAACATGGTCACTCATAATATATATTGTAGATATTTACTTTATTCTTTTCGATTATGTGATATTAGCCTTATATTTTTCATTTGATTCCGATTATTGAAATAAAAATGTTAATTGAAACAGAATAAATTTCCAATAAACATTAATACCACAAAATAAAAAAGGTACACTTGTTTCTAGTCCAGAGACCCGTTTATTTCTAAAAAACGCACTAGAAATATTCTGTTTTTATCCTGCCATATTTTGCTAGCTGTGCAACCTTCGTTCACCCAGGTTTTGTCCAAATGAAATATTTTTTGCCTTCTGCACGTAATTTAAAAATGGTTCTGAGGCATCTCCGTCTCCAACAAACAATTTCATCAGAAACAATAGGTGCTGCTTTCCGAAGTAGTTAATAAGTATACTGAGCACACTTTTCAAACTGCGCATGCGCGGATATAGCTACGAAGTTGGCTAACCTAACCTAATGACAGATGAAAACATCGATCTAAGCTATGGCATCTCTCAACAGTGTTGCTAACTGTCAGTTGTAAATACACTATTGCTGTTAGCTGTTAATCCAGAGTTGCCAGAAGGGCATAAGATTGAATATCCGTTATTACTGGTGCGATTTTAATGGGGAAAATGAATGAGTGTGGGAAATTAAATCTCTATTAACGTTGAGGAAAAAAATTCTGTGCAGTAGCAATGCCAAAAGGATCTAAGCTTGTATCTCGGTTATTATTGGTCAGATTTAAACGATGAAAACGGCATTATGTAGAGAACGCGGTATAGATTAACGGTAAAGAGAAAAAGTTTGTTTGTCTCACTTCAGCTTCAAATCTTTCAGAGTTTCCCGCAGTTTTCTCTTTTCCATTTTAGAAATATATGGATTACTATTGATTGCATCCAAAACCTGCTATCTCTTTTTAAAATAAAATTAGGACACTTTTCTTCTTATTTCGCTTTCAATTTGTTGAGTAAATTCCACTTTTTAATTCACTTATAACTCTCTATATATCGTTGATTTGCTTACACCCATCATATTACTTGTCTTTTTAACAGTGTCGCCAACTGAAAACGAAGGATTTTCCATTTTTAGGCAATTATAAACATTGCTGACAAATTTTTCTCGTTAACTGATAACGCATACTTTTTTTACGTTCCACAGTTATAATCTAATTA